GCTGTGAGGTCATGTGACGTCATCAAAGGTCACCAAAGGTTTTTGGCCAATAACTCCGTACAGGAACAAGATACAGACGCGTGGATGGTCTCATTGTGTTCAGCTCGTCAAGACGCATTGAATGATATACATGATGACCTCGAGGTCACGTGACCTGAGGTCAACCTTTGACCTTGACCTTGCGAGGTCAACATATATATCATTCGATGCGGATTGACGAGAGGATCACGATGATGCCCTTAGTTTGTTCCTATCTTGACTAATTCGAAAGTTATTCGAGAAAAACTCTCTCCATATCTAGCGCCGCCATTTTGACTTTTTCGACCCCTGTGACGTCATCTTTGACCTGACCTGAAAATGACCTTAGTAAAAATTGTAGATCTTGACCGTGCGTATCCGATGCCGTTTACCGTTTGTCGCTATCTTGCTTCGTTCTCGAGATCTCAGGGGGGGGCCGAATCGGCCCCCCCCCCCGCCAGTTTCTTGTCCCGGCGGAGCCCGCCAGGAATAGGGTTAAGACAGACTGTACAACGGGGAACAGCCACCTCGGAGTTGTGCAATTTCGCCAATGGGTGAGGTTGGGCCTACCGACAGAGAGGGATCGTGTGCGCCGTTACGAGATGCAGTATCTGGTAGACTGGCCTAAGTGTCTAGGTGAACTATAAACTCTGAACAAAAGACCCAAGGATCGGGATCTCGTTTTCGGCAATTAGTCTGAAAAAGTATAAAAACGACGAATTTGGTACCATTGCGTTTGAGAAACCCATCAAGAGTCGAATAATTGGCACTTTTGCCTGTAGGTTATACCTCTAGGTTTGTACGATTCTTTGTGAAATGTCCCCTAGATATCAGTTGATCAAGTTCAAGTTAAATTAAATCACATCATGGTGGCATTGCAGATAAAGGAGCATGTTATCAAGCTGTATTGAGTTCGGTTGGATATTTTTTCCGATACTTCTAGCGGCTAAATTGTCCCAAATACATTTCCCAATAACCAATGTCCCAACTCTGTGTCTCTCGTCTATACGTTATGATGAAGGCAAGAGGATATGGGCCTCAAAGGGCATCATCCGCCAGCTGCGCCATCTACCCAAAGGCCTGCCGCGCCACCTTCTGTCAGTCGGGCGGAGCGCCTATGCTTGCGGCACGGAGCATTGCCATGCTTTACCTACAGAACGTATACGCCCAACTACTGTTGCGTGATGATGATGACAGATACGACACATGAGAAGAAAATCGCAAGGAGAGGAGTGGCTTCCTTCGTTTTCTAAAGACAACGCAAGCGATGACGGTCAGAATATTAGTCCCACGGCCACGGGGGATGGGGCACGGAGCCGGAGGGAGACGGTCTCTTCTCTCATCCAATGCTGCGGTGATCCTTCATCCTAAAGAGCCTAGAGGAAACGTTCAATGTTGAGGGAATGTTGAGCCTGATGCTCTGCCTATTTTTATGAGCGGCCTCAACACACCTAAACTGTCACTCTCTAAAGCTTGGTCGGTTCAACTATCTCAGAGAAATTTTCCAAAGGAGGTATTGATTCAGTCTTACTTAGGTATACCATATGACCGCACATGTAAATGACCGTACGGCGTACATGTAAAATGAGTTTGACAGTTGTCAGTTGTCAGTTGTCAGTTGTATAGCCGCGATCTTTAACCCTCGCCGGCCGAGGGGGGGGGGGGGTGCCGCCTCCCATAGGATTTTTTCGCGATAGCTCCGAACACGCTGCCGATAGAGAGCTGAAACTTGACATACCTGACCTTTGATTCAAGACGAATCTTTTGACACCAACCGCATTTTTGGGTCAGGTCAGATCACTGACCTATGACGTCATAAGTGAACCTCTGCACGGTCTTCAGATGTCGCAACTTCGCAACGCCCTCACTGCCAGGGGAGATGTCACAGGGAAATGAAACTTGCATGATCTAGTATCCATTAAGAGTCTCACAACTTGTATATCTCGGATTTTTCCTAAAGGTCATATGATGTCAGGTCATTTTCGTGACCTCACCATATAAGTCAATGGGGAAAAATTCAAACTGCTATTCTGGCGCCGGGAACGATCTACAACTATCTCAAGCACACATAATCGTGATTTGATGCACTACTTGCAAGGTTAGATGCGTCACTTTTGCAATGTTGACCTTGCGTGACGTCATTTATGACGTCATCAAGGTCATATTAGTTTTTCGTCAATAACTCTTGATCAAATTGAGCTAGCGAGCCGGGAAAACCACCAATGGACTCAGGAAGACCTGCCGAATCGAATGATATGCGACATGACCTCTTTCGACCAACTTCGTGACCTCATGGGGGTGCTGACCTGACGTCTTGACCTGAGGTCAACACCCTAAGTTGACCTGACCCGAACAAAAAGTAGGTATATCATTCGACGCGCCTGAGCGAGGCGAACACGATGCTGCCAAAATCGCGGCTCTGCGACCGTTTTTTGCGAAGTTATTCACCAAAAACTGAACCGTACCTTGGGTCACTTGACCTGACCTCAGAGGTCACCGGTTGACCTAGGACCTTAAAATCGAGTACCAATCTCTGCGTCTTGTAACGTCGCACACGCTCGTTTTTTCCGCGACGCGCTAGCTCCACCAGGGGCGAAACGGCGAGGGGGGCTCGTACCCGCCCGCCCCCCCCCCCCTCGGCCGGCGCGTATGTAGAAAACCAATAGGTCCGGCGAGGGTTAACCCGGTTAACCCGCGCATGACTGGGGTATTCTCGAAAACGCGAGTGAATGGGGGGCTCTCCAGAGCCCCCCCCCCCTCCTATCTCCGAAACTACTGCGCCGATCGTCAATATTCCAACGGCGTCTGATTGTCCTGGGAAAACTGTTGAGCAAAACCTATTTTCATTGACCTCGAGGTCACCGATGACGTCACAGGTCAGGTCAAAGCAAAAGTTATCGTCATTTCTGCTTGTTCACAATTTAGGCTCAGGCCGCCGGCTGACAAGTCCGATCAGGCTCATTTTTGGCTTACGCACTCCTTGACATATGCCTTAGATACCCTGAGCGTACATACTTTTGCTTCGAACTTTTCAGGTCAAGGCCAGGTCATCTTAGGTCACGAAAATTGTATACCATGCATCGGTCACGTGACGCATGTTTTATGGTCCATTTTGCTCGTATATTTCGACAATAATGTCGTCTGTGTCATTTGAGGTCATTTTCAGCTGAATGAAAACAATAAAAAAGCCAGCCTACAGCTGGCGCAAACCGACCACTTCGATCGTAATAAAATCACCCACTTCTAAGGGATGCAGATTCTTAGGGTGTAAAATACGCACGGATAATACTGCACTATGCTTCCTGAAATCGGCTGCTGATGGAGGCCTCCGCTAACTTTGCCATTGCAGGGCGGTGAAATATTTGGCCACATCCGATCAGGTATTTCAAAAAGTAGTAAAGTTAAGAAGACGCGGGAAAAAAACTGGATAGCTCGCTACAAGATCTTTCAGAATTGTCAAGGTCTTTTTTCATCAGGTCCCTTCTAAGTTCACTAGAGGTCAACAAAAGCAAAATCATAACGAAAGAGTTGCCGAATATTTTGACAATTTTCACGAATTAGCGTATCCCTAATTCGTGAATTGAAAGAGCGCGAAAGTCGAGGAAAAGTGCATTCGACAGCTCTTTCAAAGCTTTTTCGCTAGTTCGTCCTCAGATTTGGCTTCAGGTCGATGGTTTGGTCATTGGTGCACAGAAGGCAAAAACAACCAACATAGATGAATCATGCCGAAACAATTGTTCCCAACTATTGTTTTCCGATGACTTTGGCGCCAACAATTGAACGACATTTCTTTTGCCACCATGGTGTTACTATCGTCGACATGTATTGAACAAGTTATAATTACCTTGACCTGAAAAGATCAGCTTCAAAATTTCATCCCAGGTCAAGACCCGACCGGGAATGGTGGTTTTGTATATGATTTATGAATCGATCTATGTTGACGTCCTGAACACATTCCAGGTAATTTCACCGCTCTACCATGTTTCCAATAAAAGTTTTTTGTCGAAAAACTGCCCTAACATGGCCCTTCGTGAATATTTTGTGGTTTTGACGGGTTTGTTCAAGGCATGAGGCATTTGTGCCTAAATTTCCTCATTGCCTTACAATAATGAAGTCACAAATCTGACCTTAACCCATGTCAGAGATATCAAAAACCCAAGATATACGAATTGTATGTATTGATAAAATTCACAGAGCTCCAATCTTCCAGACGATAACCTGCAGGATTGACAGGGTCGTTAAGTTACTAAGTGACAGACTTTCGGAGAGGGACGGACCGTGTCCGGCGTAAAGGTGACTTTTTTTTAGATAAAAGTCGTCTATTTTTTATCGTTTCGTCGTCGTAAAAATCCTTTTTCCCTTTTTCGTCCCTTTTCGTCATTATAAAAGCAGTAACAGCGTTTCCCCTGTCGACTTATAATAGTGGGTTTACGTGGCCTTAGGTGACCCATATATTGAAATGAATACGAGACTCATAAGCACCTTGGTTTTTAGCAAACCTTCAGAAGCTTTCGACATCATAAGTCTACTTTGCATCATAAGTAAGCTAATGAACTGAGCATATTTGAGGAAAATGAAATAAATAACAGTTAAAAGAGGCGTTGCATGCAATTTAACGACCATTATTTTGTCGGTGCACATCCCATTAGATGGCAGATAACTGATGAATCTAAAGAAAAAAGAAATGAAATGGAACACTACACGGAAGCCCAGGCGACTACCAGGTAGCGTGCCGTTGAACTAGGCAGGTAATTAGTGCGCACAGGAGGGTATGCTCGCTCTCCGTCAGCCTGCCGTCCGTCAGGTCGCCACCATTTGGTCCCGCTGTCGACTGGACAGCACTGCGTGCCAATCTGCATTCATAGTGGGGTTAATTTGGATTTCCGGCACCCCAAGTTAGATGTCACTGAATGAGTGGAGCCTTTCGAACAGTCAAAGTTGGCCACGGTCGTGAATGACTTTAGGCCCCGCCCCCTCCGTAGGACGTCACCGGCCGGCGGCCAATAGCGGGGCGGCGCTGTGCATGGACAGCGGACCTGTGCCCCCTCCCCGCCGCGCGGGCTCGGTACTCCCAGGCCGACTAGGCGACGGGTTGGCAGTCTGAATCTTCAGTAGCACCAGGTCACTTAGGACGGGTTCACAGCGCTTCTGATCAGCCATGTTCCTGCTGCTGCTTCTGACGCTGCTGGCCTTTCTGGTGGTGGCGCTCGCCTGGCACCGGCGGCCGCGCCGTCCGGCCCACTGTCCCCCAGGTGGGTGGCCATACTGCAGCCCCACTGTCTCCCAGGTGGGTGATCATACTGCAACCATACTCACCGTCAGGTGGGTGGTAAATGTTGTTGGTCATATTGCACCCCATCGTACCCAGGTACTTGGTCAATGGTCATACAGCTCCCAATGTCCCATCGTTCTCCCATCGTTCTTAGATTTTGCCACGGGCTTATTTTCATGTTTCAGTGTTATTTTGCGGGGCATTTTTATACGTGAGAATGGCAATCAACCGATAATAAAACATTAACAATAAATCATACGGGCTATTGTTTTATTATATTACGTTCGAACAATGAATCGTCAATGAATCGATGGGCGAGTGTGACAGTGGTGATGAATGAATTATATCGCGAAAAAAATGAGTTTTCTTCCCTTTTTAAAACTTTCTTTCTGATAAAACCATCTGGTAGATGAGAGAGAAAGAGAGAGAGAGAGAGAGAGAGAGAGAGAGAGAGAGAGAGAGAGAGAGAGAGAGAGAGAGAGAGAAAAAGAGAGAGAGAGAGAGAGAGAGAGAGAGAGAGAGAGAGAGAGAGAGAGAGAGAGAGAGAGAGAGAGAGAGAGAGAGAGAGAGAGAGAGAGAGAGCATGCTCATGAAAGCTAGACAAAAAAATCTGGGATTTGATCGTACCTATCTTTTTATCTCGGATTTGACGAGTTTACATATAGATCGAACCATTATATTTGTGGAGAGCTCCATTGAGATGACTGCCTTTTTTGTTGAGAGATCCATTGAGATCATAGCTCCTGACTCACTTTCTGTCGACACAGAAGCTCCGGATCTTATGTGATCACTCATCACAATTCTCAGTTTTGTGGCACTTATTGACATGCAACCACCTGTAAGCAAGGATTCCAGGCTGCCTTATTGCGTTCCAGGTTTCCAGACTGCGTATGGTGAGATCCACCCGGATCAAAGATGATGTTTTTTTTTGTCGGATTGCTTTGTCGTTGGATCCTGTGAATTTATAGATCCAGAATATGTTTTCCACATGGGATCCAACGGAATCGTAGATTCGAAGTCGTAGTTTGCTTCCTTCTAGATCCATTGAGAAGTTAGACTCATCACCCGGCTCCATGCAAATTGCACGTGTCTGAAGAAGAGAGCTTTTGATTTGCCTTTCAATTTTGTAAATCGATTAAGTAGTTTTCGATATCTCCGAAGGAGCGGATGCCCCAACCCCGCCACTAAAAACGGTATCCAACTAGGAGCCCACCACCAATAGTTAGGCTAGGCATTTTGAAACTACAGGGCGACTTTTTATACAGAGCAAAAAGGAAAGAGCAATGGCGGTACCAGAAAACACATAAACTGCCCGAAAATTTATATTTTTGTAATAACCACATTCAGACATGTTATCTGCACACATAGACTTTTAGTTTGAGCTCCGTTTAGGCTTACAGAGCGTGCTCGAAGTGAGCACCGTTTTTATGCGCGCAAGCCTGAGCTCTTCTTTTAACCCTCGCCCGGCGAGGGGGGAGGGTTGATTCAACCCCCGCCCCCTAAGTTTTTTTTTCGCAAATAACGTAAAAACGGTGGCGCGTAGCTCCACCAAATTTGGCATACCCTCTTGGGCAACCTTTTCGCACCTATCCTGAAATTTTGAAGTCCCAGTCCTTTCAGGTCAGGTCACCAGGTCACAAAAACCGGTACAAGGTCAGGGGAAAATTGGACTAGCTTAGCGGCAACTGAATTCCAGAGTTCACTGAAACTGGTAACAAAGCAGTGGCGGCGGAAGGTATTCTAGGATAGGGGTGCAAACGATATTGAAGCGCCCCTTCCCGCTGGGCGCCCCTTATCATATACACGGTTGTAGTAACACAAACAGTGGAGAGACGATTGACAATGTGTTGTACCTGTTAATACGTTCAGAATTACAGTTTTTATGTAACGAGAAATAGTTAGGTACATTCCATAGCGTAAATGTAACCTTCATAATGTTCGTTTAGAAACAACCTCATCACCATATCATAAGATTCTCCGAATAAGGCATATCGAAAAGAGTTCCACGGTTCAGTGAAATTAATGCCGCCCCAATCTCCGATAGGCGCCCCAGGTGATACATGTCGCCAATCAACACCAACGGGCGCCCCATTGAAATGAATACCGCCCTTCAACACTGGCAGACGCCCCAGTGGAATGAATGCCGCCCCACAATGCCGATGGCCGTCTCTGCACTGGAAAATCAGTTTCGCCCCTATACAGGCGCCCATAGAAGTTTGCAGAATGCTATTCCTGGTCATAATCATCTCCCCAGTAAAAAACGCAAAATACGCCCTAGCACTAGGGGTGTAACCGCCCATACGGACAGTGCAATTTTACAGGTCCCAATCTCGGACCTCCCTTAACATTCATATTTTGTAAACGGCAAACCGCCCCCGATAAATGTTACACAAACTAATTTCCTCTCGCATATCGGCCATCAGGCGCCCCTTTTTGTCGCATGGAGCCTGCAACGCTATAAGCCCTCATATGTTCGTGTTGGCGTTCGGAGGCTATCGCCTTCAAAGACGTCTCCATACATGTTTCTTTTTCGTCCCACACACAGGCGCCCCTCTTTCGCATGCAGGCGCCCCTCTTCCGCATGGCGCGCTTCTCGAGTGGCTGCGCCCTCCTAGCCTTTATCGCCTGGCAAGATTATATTCGACAGGGTCGGCAGCATCTGCCTTTGTTTCAGATAAGGATGCCCTCCACTCTTCAGCATATCAAAAGATACTTTTCCCAAGTCATTGCCACCCTCTTCGTGTCACAAGTGCCTTTATCAGTTGCGGTGTCGCACTGCTCAGCTTTATGGCCGCCGCACCTCTTATAACTTCCTGCCTCCTCTACAGATTTTCGAGGCGCCCCTTTCCATAGCTTTAGGGTGCAGCTGCCCCCCTTGCCCCCCTGCTTCCGCCGCCACTGTAACAAAGTATATCATTGGATGCGCACGGACGTCCTGAGTTCACTGGTGCTTTTATTTTTGTTCTATCTTTACTAGGTAAAAAGTTATAAGCGAAAACCTTTTGACATGTTTTAGCAAAATTTTTGCAGTCATACCCTTCCCCCTAAAAAACCCTAAATATTGACTTGGAGTCACCAAACTTTCACAGGGGCGAGATCTCCTATGGACCCACCTACCCGCAACAATTTGCGAAAACCCTCGGGGGGGGGGGGCGGTTAACCACCCCCCGTCGGTGAGCAGGTTAATCACTGCCTAGTACTTAGTACTTACTCATATGCTGGTTTTAGCCTTTGACCTTGACCTCTAACCTTCAAATTGACCGCTCTTGTATCCGTAGGTACATCCTCTTGTATCCGTGGTACCGCTCTTGTGTCCGTACCTTCGTGTCAACGGAATCAAACAGAGGCCTCTTGCACCAAACTACCTAGCTAGGTAAAATCGAAAAACCGGTTTAAGAATAAGTTAATCTAACGGTGGTATATTTGTTTGCAATAGCCCAATCCATACTCCTACATGTGCTTGCTAAATTTTGCACGCAAATTGTTACAATTGAGGCTTGGACTGGGTATACGTTGCAAAATAATCCAAGCATTGGTGCAAGAGGATTTTGGTGCAAGAGGCCTCAGGCTGGGCGAAAAACACCGTCGCTCCTAAATACGTTAGCGACTGTTAAAACGCCAATATAGACGAGGAAGTTGCTAGGGACTGCTTTTATATTCTGCAATGTGCTCTGAGTTGAAACTAAGACCATCATCTGTGACATAGGTCCACCCACGGGGTGGTTGCTGGGTAACCTGCGGGAGCTGATGCGGATGAACCGTCCCGGCGGCTCGGTGAGCAGCGAGCTGCGCCTGCTGGGCGGCAGGTTCGGGCCCGTCTTCAGCCTGGTGCACCCGTCCGGCCGGCTGATCGTCGTCGTGAGAGACGCCGACCTGGTGAAGGCGGCCGCCGCGCAGACGGCGCTCTCCGGCCGGCCGGCCACCTTCTGCCTGCGCTACCGCAGCTTCCACCAGAACCTTGGTACGTAGAGCACCGCGGCTTCCACCAGAACATGGGTAGGTAGGAGACTTCTGCCTGCTCTACCGCAGCTTCCACCAGAACGTGGGTATGTAGGAGACTTCTGCCTGCTCTACCGCAGCTTCCATCAGAACCTGGGTAGGTAGGAGACTTATGCCTAGGGTACCACAGCTTCCACCAGAAGATGCCGCAGGCAGACATGTGCACGGATCCCAGACAACCAATCACGGAAATCGAGATGGCCATTAGATTGACGGTCTTCAAGCATGAAATTATGGTGGAAAACATGGCTCATAGAAGCCTCTCAATGAACCAATTATTTTGCATTCCTTCAGGGTTAACAGTTCTGAGAAAATCCCTCAAGATCCATCTCGGATCCATGATTCGTGGCCATGGATCCGAGATGGATCTTGAGGGATTTTCTCAAAACTGTGAACTCTGAGGGAATGCAAAATAGTTGGTTTGTTGAGAGGCATCTATTAGCCATGTTTTCCACCATAATTCCATGCTTAAAGTCCACTAATCTAGTGGCCATCTTGATTTTCGTGTTTGGTCGTCTGGGATCCGTGCCCATGTCTGGCCGCAGGCACTAACGCAGCTTCCACCGGAGCCTATATAGGAAGCCGCAGTCTGCTTGCGCTACCGCAGACGCTTTTATCAGAGCCTGAGAAAGTGTAAGGTGCCGAAGTTTCCATCAGATTACGCATCGATTTGATGTCATTTTGAACCACTATTAGGGTGGACAAGGAAAGCTGCCTTTTCTGCGTTGTCCTATACCTTATTTTTTATAAGCCAGTATACCGCCAATTCCTTCAGTTTACTCATTAGTGCCTGAGGATCGTACCTACATAATTTGAGGCCAACGGTATTGCCTCATGACAAGGTATCAGCAAAGCAACAGTGTTCATAATCCAGGCGGAACTATCAATCGTGTCACAAAGAAAGTTAGCCCAATTTCATCTGGACATCAAACGCCAACGTTACTAAGCGAAGTCTTTTGAATAATTATAAATGAATGGTTGATCACTGAGCATATAGTCACTCATCAAATGTGACACGTTAAACATTTGACTGCAAGGCATACATACAATTGTGTAGCTGTTGTCATAGCAATGCAGTTATGCCAGCCAGACCATGTCAAGTCGGTGAGCAAATACACCGTGTTTCTCCTCAGGTCTGCTGTTCAGTGAGGGTGACGTCTCTACGTACAACCGGCGCTTCGTGATGCGCGTCCTGCGGGAGCTGGGCTGCACCAAACGCAGCATGGAGACCCATATCTCTCGGGAGTATCAGGTTGGTGCCTCAGCTCCCTCCCCTCCCCTAACCTCATTCTCATGGACCGCCGGCTGGCGGCCCAGCGGTTAGTCTATTCCCAGCGCGCTGGTCAGACTCATAACTCAGAATTTCGGCCGGGGGCCCCGCGGGCCGGCCACGAACGTTGACCTTTGAATGGCTCCAGCTGCTTCAGTTCATTGCGCAGTGCAGGCTGCAAGGACAACCTGGTCGTAAACGTAAGCGGGATGATGTTTTCCGGCGCCACCGCAGGCGAGCTGTTGGAAGGACTTCATGCACGTCCTACAAACGACCGAGCAGAAGCTGCGAGTGTTACTGTCATGGCTGGAGGGATCCCGTTGCGCTCTGCCAAAGCAAACCTGCTGTATGAACCTATTCTTTGCTTACTAGACTAGCAATGTCTATACATTGCTGTCATAGTAAGCCTGTCCTCCGTCCAACAGAGCAGGCAGCAGAAGCCCTGACCTCTAAAGCACACTGCATAGTACATGGGAGATAATTCTGTCTTTAGATCACTGGAGAAGGGGCGCTTTCTGTCCTTCGTTCTCGTAAATAGGAGTGTCCCCCACGCCGTCCAGTCCAGCAGATCATGAGCACTCCCTGTCTCTGATCAACAGGGCCACAGCTGTTTGCCCATATCGTAGACTGCTCCTATTGGAAATACACCCCATGGCAACGCTTTAGACGTTTGCAGAACACTTAAGCAATGGAAGGATGCGGTAGCGTTGGGCTCGGAGCCATACTGATGTAAAGTGGAAGTCCGTTATGTTGCTATCTGGAGTTTTGTATTGCATAGGTATTTTATGTTATCTGTATTTTATCTGACAATGTATTGGATGTTCTGCCACTGGAAGCGTGATTAGTGGCCAATCGCGGTTATCATGGTCACAAACAGGTAATTTAAGTGTCGGTGGCAGCTGACAGCTGGCAGCCGGCAGGACGCCTACTGTTTGACCTGACCTGACCCAACCCGACCTATCCTAATTGCATGAATGCATCGTCTTTGATCAAGATTAATAGGAGCTTAGCCGTTTTACGACGGCCATCTGGTGCACACTTGGTACAGATTAGGTGCAGATTTGGTGCGGATTTGGCCAAAGACGCCGTAAAAAGGCCAATACGGGCGAGTGTTATGTCTTCGTGGACATTTTCAGTCGCTTATTCATTATTTTGACCGGTGCTAGCTTCCAGTTTGTTCAGATGCATTCATTCATAAGTTCAGCTTCGTTTCAAATTTTCCACTGGCAGCCAAGCCGCCTGTGTGTCAACGCGCCTTTCCGAGATATGCGCTGATAAACGAACCAGAGAAGAAGTGTGTGACGTTTTGGCTGTTAGACCGCGGACCACAATCGTCGCCACTAATAAACACTGTCGTCTTGTCACGCCATCAAACGGGCTTTTCTCGCAACCTAGTCACAGAGTAAGCAAAAAGCCGTCAGTTTGGTCGTCCCGTCCGCTCTGGGTCGAATGCTGTAGTAAAGGCACAGATCACGAATGCGTAAACATTCCAGTGGTGTGAAAGACGGACTTTGGAGCGCAGTTTTTACCACGAAACATCAATATGCTGGTGGTACGGCCAACATGTAAGGAACATGTTGGGAAGTGTGCCTGTCTGTTGTATGACAAACCCGGTATAATTATGCGTTGCTTTTCTGCGGCGCAGGAGCTGGCCCAGCAGCTGACGTCATCCGGGGGGAAGGACGTGAACGTGGACGGTCTGTTCATGCTACCGGCCTTCAACGTCATCTGGCGACTGATTGCTGGACGCAGGTACGCATGCAGAACATGCCGATTGCTGATTGTTGTAAGAGGTTGTAACATCATCAGGCATGATAAGTTATTCTACCAAGCTACACTACAATTTTGTGGAAAAGACATACTGCTCGAGCGCCGCATTCGCGATGTATTTATTTCTCATTTCATTCAGTCATATTTTCAACAGACGTATCCTGTATAAAGCTTAAGCAAACCTTGTTACACATCAGAACGTGATGGGTGAGACAACATAATGACACGTGAGGCTATCTGATGGCTATTTTAATCTATTCACCTGCCACCTTTTATTCGCTCTCCCTCATCGTCGTGTTGTCGGCGTGCACGGCTATTCCTACATGCCGGGGTATGTCTTAAGCACAGCACGAGCCGGGCAGTAAAACTATTTCCTACATGCGGGGGTATGTCTTAAGCACAGCACGAGCCGGGCAGTAAAACTATGACCAAGAAACTGTCGGTGTCAAAATGCCATGTTATTTGATAGGCCGGGCAGGAAACAAAAGTTTACTGCCCGGGTTTACTGCCCAGGGCAATGACCTCTAAATTTCAGTTTATCACATTAGCCCAGAGGTATAATTGACAGGGAATGTATAATTGACATAATTATTGCATGATATTTGCCGCGCAAAATAAGAAAACTAACATTTTTTTGGTAAAACAAAAATATCTGCTCTGCTTATCAAGGGTTTTGAAATATTTTGTATTGGTTACAAAGTCGAAATTATGGTAAGATATGCGCCTATCGAAATCCGTTATCGCTTGTTGTCTTATCTTCGTTTGATATGTCCACTGATACCTTGGGCCTAAGTTATTGCGTTATTATTTGAAAGTTGCAGTCCTTTCCTCGAAACAAACATAAAATATGGATGATATAATGTATTTCACGAAAGTTTAGCCATAGAGCATCAACAAAGTACGATTACATAAATAAAGAAGATTCTTACAAGAGCACTGGAAAATTCACGTTTAATCACTAGGAATATTATACCTTCTTCTTGTTCTTATGTCGTGGCAAATTATTAATGTATTATGTTCCTCGGATATCCCGTTGTTGTGCTATTCTGAGTTGATATTTTCAGACGCGATTCTTTTTGAAGTAGGGTATTTTGATGCATTTTCTTCTATAAATTTCCTTTAAAGCTTTATCCACAGCAGTAGCGCAATCACTGTTAGGAAATTATAGACAAAACAATTGCATAAAAGTGTCACTAAAACCAGTCGAAACTACTTAGCACGTATGCGGCATGTAGGAAAAATCTTACTGACCTCAGCCGTACGAAATTATTTGGAAACTCGGCTTGCAAAATTTGACTCCGGCCCTCGTGCTTCGCACTCGGGCCTACGTCAATTTTGCAAACCTCGTTTCCAAATAATTTCGTCGGCCCGGTCAGTAATATATAGACCAAGAAACTGCCGGTGTCAAAATGCCATGTTATTTGATAGGCCGGGCAGGAAACAAAAGTTTACTGCCTGGGTTTACTGCCCAGGGCAATGACCTCTAAACTATAGAGCCTATCGCATCAGCCCAGAGGTATTGACCCAGGGAATGTATAATTGACATCATAATTGCATTATATTTGCATCGTAAAATTAGAAAACTAACATTTTTTGGGAACAAAAATATCTGCTCTGTTTACAGAGCTGGGCAAGTGCGTTCCTTTAGTGCGTTCCTGCGTTCTTCCGTACGTACGCACCGCCCTTTTTAGGAACGCAAGAACGCAGGAACGCAAAGTTTTTCAAAGGAACGCAAGTAAGAGGAACGCACCACCCGAAATTTTGAAGCGTTCTTGCGTTCTTGCGGAACCACCCGCAAAATTATATTGCTGCCAATGACCTCTGTGTCAAATGTTTGAATCTCGAGTACGTGTGTTTGCCAGTAGAGGCGCCACTTGTCGGTCGAATCGAGGAAGGCTTGCTTAGATTTGGTGATGCTTACTATTCGATTCGGTTTCAGGCATTAAATGTGTATTTTTTTTAGTGGTGATGTTTACTATTCGATTCAGTTTCAGGCATTACATGTGTAAAGTAAATATGATAACTTTTACTAAGATACATCTTTTAACTTAACTATTGTTTAAGCAGGTCGTATTTTTGTTGAAAACCCTACGGATGATATTGGTAAAAGGTATTTCAGATATTCGATTCGGAAAAGAGATGTCGAGTTGCTTTTCTGCCCCACGTCGCCATTCTGGGTATTCTGTGATCGATTCGCCCCGTGTTTGGTTGGGCCCGCGCCGCGTGGTTCGGCGGTATTTTTGAGGGAGGAACGCAGGAACGCAGGAACGCTAACGCACCGAGCGAAAACAATTGAGGAACGCTATTCCAGGAACGCACTAACCGCGGCCGGAGGAACGCAGGAACGCTAACGCACTACCGAAAATCGAGGAACGCGCCCAGCTCTGTCTGTTTATCAGGGCTTTGAAATATTTTGTATTAATTACAAAGCCAAAACTATGACCGAAATCCATTATCGCTTGTTGTCTTATCTTCGTTTTATATGTCTACCGATTCCTTGGGCCAAAGTTTATACCTATATTTATTGGCTATTGCGTTATTATTTGATATAGTCGTAGTCCTTTCCATGAAACAAACATGTGAAATATTGAAAATTTAATGTATTTCACGAAAGTTTTGCCATAGTGCATCAACAAAGCAGGATTACATAAAGAAAGTAAACATTCTTGCAAAAGGACAGGAAAATTCACGTTTAATCATTAGGAATAGTATATCTTCTTCCTGTTCTTATGTCGTGCCAAATCGTTTATGTTCCTTCTTGGATATCCAATTGTGCCATTCTGAGGTAATATTTTCAGAGACGATTCCGTTTGAAGTAAGGTATTTTGACGCATTTTCTTCTACGAATTTCCTTCAAAGCCTTATCCACAGCAGAAGCGCAATCACTGTTAGGAAATTATGGACAAAACAATTGTATAAGTGTCACCAAAACCTGTCAAAACGTTTTAATAGGTATGCGGCATGTAGGAAAAATCTTACTGACCTAAGCCGTACGAAATTATTTGGAAACTCGGCTTGCAAAACTTGACTCCGGCCCTCGTGCTCTGCACTCGGGCCTCCGTCAATTTTGCAAACCTCGTTTCCAAATAATTTCGTCGGCCCGGTCAGTAATATACCGGGTGGCCCAGAAAAAACGTTCCCAACTTTAAGTCAATATTCCTCAGAAACTGATAAAGATACAACTTTGAAACTTCGAAGAGTCAATGCGGCACATATGCTCAGTAAATGGTGCGATTTTCATGCTATTCGGTAAATTACTTTTTGAACGGTTCGTGTTTCAAGCATGCCATGTAAAAATTACTTTTTTGTTCCGATGTTTACTAAAAAATGTGAGTGAACGGGTTGCTTCGAGCAGGAAACTTTCACCTTCGCACTTTCACCCCGGCACCGCGGCCTACAGCCAGGACTGCCACTGGCAGCTAGTCTCATTGATAGTGTGGGCCTTAGGATGACACATTCCCTCAGGCAACCACGATGGCTCTGTGCCAGCGGCAACATTATCGGAAGAAGTTTCCAGTGTTCTAACCATCTTGTGGCTCAAATGCTTTCCTGGCTGACATCCCTGGGAAAAGGTAGCTTTTCATTTCAACCAGTTTTTTTTTTGTCATCTGCTGGCTTTGTTGTTTTTCATGAGTTATTATGTGGTCTTCTGGTACAGGTTTGGCGTGTTCTCGGGCTCCACACACACAGGGCTCCTTTCACAGTCTATTCCAGACCCCAACTGACCGCCCCGGACCAGCGAGCACCCGCCAGGTCGGGGTTCGGCCAATCACAACGCACCAGATCCACACGGCCAATCACACACTGCCACACACTGTCCACGTCATGTCACCCCACTCAGGCCGCTGCGCCACTATGGAGGTGCAAACACACCACACCATTCCATTCCTCCAACTCACAACTCACAACACTACCCCCTTCCATTTAAGGTTGTCGTCCCGACAACCAACGAACAGCAAATATCGTGAAACCACAATAGCCTAAATGAGCAATCGACACACGACAATGAGCGCACGATACGCTGGTACTAACACCATCCTAAACCTGGTACTAACAGAAAAGAAAAAAAAACTGAGCAAACACCGCGGTTCTAATATGTAACGACGTTTCCAAAACGCTCGGGCGGTCGGCGCACTCGTCCCGAACGCCGTAATGACTGTTTTTCCTGCAGACCGCCGCCATTTAACAGCGATGCACCCCGTCTCATTGGAGTTTTAACAAAGCAAGTTTGGCTGTGGTCCCCGGTGTCAGCCCTGTCATCCGGTGGTATATGGGTGAAGTTTTCCGTGCGCGCCGCGGAATCTCCCGACCCCGCCCGCCACTCGGGGCGCGGTGGGTTGAACGGTCCCGTGGGAGGAACTGGCGGACGTGGGGATGGCGCACGCCGTGAACGTCCACGGCGCGCCGTGGAATCTCCCAACACCGCCCACCACTCGGGGCGCAGTGGGTTGAGCGGTCCCGCGGGCGGAACTGGTGGACGTGGGGACGGCCGCCCGCGGGCGGGGTGAGAACCACTCTCGAGACTGACGTTCCCCCGCTCCCCAACCCCCAGGGAGTGTCGTCTAGCAGCGCCACGGAGCCGACCAGGGCGCACCTCAGGCACGGAAGTGCACGGCTTGAGGCGATTGTGATGGATCACACTCTGCTTGGATCCACCTTCTCGTTGTACCCGATACGTCCAACTGCGAAGCTTTTCGACAATTTTATATGGACCTTTATTTATTTTTTTATTTTTTATTTATTCCTCGTCCTCCACACGGGATATGTTTTCCCATTTATGGGAGGGCTCCTGCTCCTCCTCAGGGCTACGGTGCAAGGCGGGAGCCCACCCCACCCCCCAGTGACACAGTTGGGGACGCCAGTCCGGAAGCCGGGCGGCACCGGGGATCGAACCCGGGTCCTCCCGACCACAGAACCGACGCCTTACCAACTGCGCCACTGGAGCCGCCGAATGCGTGTGCCATGCGTGCTTCCCATGCGTG